CCAGCTTGATGTTCCCCTCCTTGTCTCCCAATTTGTTTCCCAGCTTGTCCCCCACTATGTCTCCCATTGTGTCTCCCGGCCTTGTTTCCCACCGTGTGTCCCAGCTTCTCTCGCACTGTGTCTTTCACCTGGAACCTTGGAACCTTGCCTGTCACAGTTGTCTCCCGCCTTGTTCCCCACCTTGCATCCCAGCTGGTCTCCAACTGTGTCTCCCTTGTTGTCCACTGTATCTTCCCTTTTGTCTTCCACTCTGTCTCCCACTGTGTTTCCCACTGCTTTGCCTCCTCCTTTGTCGTCCACCTTGTCTCTAACTTACTTTGTCTCCCCACTGTGTCTCCCACTGCGTCTTCCACCTTCTCCCACTTGTCTCCCAGCTTGTTTCTCCCCTGTGTTTCCCACTTTGTCTTCCATTGCCTCTTCCACTCACTGTGTCTCACACCTTGTCTCCCACTGTGTCTCCAACTTTGTCTTCTACCTTGTTCCCATCTCTGGAAGCAAGGGGCAGTTCCGCGGCTCGTCCCTTTTGCCCAGTATCCAGTGGTTTTCCAGTTGTCTTCCACAGCCCCCCGTTGTTTCGCAGATGCCGTCTATAACTGTTTTTTCACTTGTCCCCCATGTCTTCCACTTGTCACCAGGTTATCTCCCAGCCGTCGTGCAGATGTGGTCTCCCACTTGTTTCTCAATGTCTTCGAATTAATTGTCTTTGACCTTTTGTCCCAGTTGTCTCCCGGATGTAATTTCCCAGATGTTGTCTCCTAGTTGCCGTCAAGGTTTCTCCACGTGTTGTCTAGTTGACGTGTCGCCCAGATGTGGTTTCCCAGTTGTCTCCCAGATGTGGTCTCCGAATCGTCTCCCAGTTGTTTCACAATTGCCTTCCAGATGTTTCCCAGATGTGGTCTCCCGTTTGTCTCCCAAGTGTCTTCCACTTGGGCCCCACAATGCCCAGTTATCTTTCAGAGGTGGCCCCCAATAATTTCCAATTGGTTTCAGCTGGTTTCCATGTGATCTTCCAATTCTATCCAAGTTGTGTCCCTTAGCTTTAGCTTTGAATTTGAAACCGTCACTGCTGTTGGGGTGCAAAGCTGGGTTGATAGAGAATGTTGGGAGTATAGAGACTTCAAACAACAAGTCACAAGGTTGCTGTGCAGCCCGCTTTCGATTCAGACTGAATCTACAAACACCTGGCCCTACCGCGATTTGTTGCAGGGTGTATCCAATGTTGCTTTGGTTCCGAGACGAAATAAGATTATGAGCCGGGAGCTTAAAGAGGTCCGGCAAGCTTTTCAGAATGTCATATGAATGGCGCATGAAGAAAATGCATGAACATTAGGCATAAGTAGCCAGTGTCAAAAAGTTTCCACACATTTACTCGGTTGATCTCGGTTGTGTTTGGTGTTTCCTGAGATTTCCTGCGGCCTTTGGTGCGACATGAAGGGGAAACCCCCCCGCTGACCAACATTAGGACACTGCGCGTGATCTGCGCTTTATTTCATTGCAATTGCATCTCATTGCATCTCATTGAGTTTTACTGCTTTCATTGAGTTTCATTGCATCTCATGGCATTTCATGGCATTTCATTGCATCTCGTTGGATTTTATTGCGTTTCATTGAGTTTCATTGCATCTCATGGCATTTCATGGCATTTCATTGCATCTCGTTGCGTTTCATTGCATCTCATTGCATATCTCTGCGTTCATGGCATCTCATTGCACTTCATTGCATCTCATTGCATTTCATTGCGTTTCATTGCCTTTTATGTGTGTTTCCATGTGCTTTGGCAGACAGTGCTAGGCCTAGGCACCGAAATGCTTGGACAGGACAGCGGGGCTCAAGTCATAGCGGTGAGTGGGGCAGATTCGGCGCAAGGCTTTCGCACAAAGAAATACAGGGAACTTTGCAAGATGAAGTCTCGGAAGTCGCCCTAAAGTACTGAGTGTGTTGCAATGCAGCAAAGTTTTTAAACACAAAGGTTGAATTCACAGGCACTTTCCGACGGTACAATGCTCAAAGCGCACACGGTGCCCTCTGCAGCTCTCAAAAGGTTGCCTCATGCTACATGCCACCGTACCAAACTTTCATCCCTGGCATTTACTCAGGTTGGGAGCTTTCTAGAGATCTGACTATAGCATAGCTCCAAATAGACGACAGTCTATGGTAGTGATGGTGCGCAGAACCTGCGCAACCAGCAGGCAGCAACAGGATAAATGCAATTCACCACGCTGGCAGACAGGCATAAATATGTCAGCACCATTCGGCCGTATAGCATGTTGCCAAGATTGCGCCAGAAATGGAGCAAAGGAGAGATGAGATCATTGAGATCATTGAGGTACTGCACTCTCCGAAGATCTCCAAAAGGCGTCCAAAAGATCTCCAAAGTAAAAAGACATTGAAACTTGTTACCCCCATTGCCCCCACTGGCTTCGACTCACCTCAGGAGCGAGCCTCGCACAAGCGACAGCAAGCAGGCCTGGATCAGACACCAGAGCTACTTGCAGGTGCGACAGTGCAACGTACGTTGGATTTTCGGATGTGCAACGATATGGAGGAGTCCAGCTTCGCATTCTTCTTCGACACCGAACCAAGGACCCAATTTCAAGCCTTTTCTCATTCAGTATAGCCTCGCAAAGCAGATTGGTGAGAACCATTTTTCCACGTTTTCACATGATTCATCGCAGCATATACCTTAGGACTATTCAAGAGCAATCGGTCGAAGAAGAAGATGAGGAGGCCTAGTGCATATTGTGTCAGATAATGAGCTGTTTTGCGCACCACACCAAAAAGATTTTGTGGTGTTTACGATCCTATGCGGCTGGCAGCAGGTACCAAATGCAGAGTCTGCCCTCAGGCCTTTCACGTTGGATCGGGAAAAAGTGGGGGTGCGATCGGATAATCGGACGCAGGATATTTTGCTTTTAAGAACTCGCTGAATTGCTACAATTGTTGACTGAACAGACTGAACAGACTGAAAAGACTCAACAGGGTGCAGTCATCTAGCGAAGATGGCCACGAAGCAGGACCTGTGGCGCGGGTCCAAGATGAGTTTCAAACATGTTTCAACTGCTTGTTCTCTGCAAAGGGGGAGTTCGAGCAGGTGACCATGGTGAAATTTTCAGAAATCCAAGGCCTACCAGCTGCCGCGGAAAATCCACATCTACTTCTCAGACACTGGCGGTGGACATCGAGCATCGGCGCTTGCGCTGGAGGCTATCACTTTGTCTGACTTTGCCTTGGAACTCGAAGTATTTTGATGTTGCATGGGAATTTTGTCTGACGCAAGGCTGCTCTTGAGAAGCAATATGGCAGCCAGGCCATGAGCATTGAAATATAGAATGTACAGAATGTACAGACTGACTGTCGGAATCTACGGCGAATGTACGGAATGTTCCATATATGTTCCACGTATGCTCTACATGTGTTCCACGTGAGCAGCCTTAAACACCTCCATCCTCCATCAATCTCCTGGAACCCAGAGGTGCCTTACTGTCCTTCAGAGTTGTGTGCTGTGCGCTCGACTTTTTTGCTTTCAAGCTGTCTTCAAGCTGTCTTCAAGCTGTCTTCAAGCTGTCTTCAAGCTGTCTTGAAGTAAGTTCTCTTGAAGCTCTTCCCATGTGATTTCTGGAATTTGACCTCCGCCTCCACATTCTTCGCTACTCGTAGCATCTCGTAGCTATGTTGTTTTCCTTCTCCAGCGACCCCGAGACCGTATGATATTTTCAAGAACCTGAGAACCCTGGTTTCAATGTGCCATCAGACAAATTCATTGATTCAAATATAGTCAAATGATGTCACATGCAATTAACAGGTCAATCTAGTGCAAGTGCCACTGGTGCAAATCGTTGGCAGGTGTCGGTTGAGTTAATCGACTTCTTCCGTGCGGCCATGCCATGGCCACTGTGACTGCCTTGAGGATTTCAGGTTATCATCCAATACGATCAATACCTCTATCCAAGCCTCCAGCAACTGGAATGAGGTCCCAAGCGCCTGAGACATACCAGGCATTGTTGTCTTTATGAGAATTTGTTGGTTCTGAACGCTTAGAATTCTCATTTGGAGAGCTCTAGTCATTGTGCAGACCTTGGGCAATTTTCCATCCGTCTACAAGCGTGCTACGACCTCAAGTGACTCGAAGCTTGAGTTGCCAATGGCGTGAGTCTTGTTCCTCTCTCGCTCACTCTCTCTGTACATGCGCTTACCCCTGTGCATGGTCTTTTCTCGGCTATTTAAGGCATGGGACTACGATCAAGATAGCGAAAAGTGGCAAGACACAACGAGTAGCTCCTTTGCAACTATGATCTAAGCCTTGAAGCCAATGGAAGCGCAGGATCCTTTGTCAAGACAAGACTAGATGAGGCTACCAATGGATGTGGAGCTACAGCAAGGAGCAAGCTACTAAGAGACGCAAACCATTGCAGACCTTTCAAACTGCTATTACGAGTTGATTCTGTTCCCAGTTTTTCCTGGAAACAGTGAAACATTTGCAGACACATCGTGAAGTACCTCCAGCCGCTTGATTTGGATCTGGTCATTTCGGTTCATCCTCTGTTCCTTGGCTGCTTGGTGATGCCGATGAGCCATGAAAACTTGATATAACTTATATATTATTAAATTATGACTGTAAATGATACTTAATGCATCTTAATGCATCTCATGGCAGCAGAACGTTTTTCACAAAGGCTGTTTTGGCAACAGGTTTGAGTCTCGCGCGCCAGGATTCACCATTTGGTGATAGAAGCCTTGGAGGAGATTTCTCGAGGTCCAAAGCAAGAGCTGACACGTTCTCGCATTGAAATACGTGCAGACCATATTAAAACCAAATGAAAACCCAGACACGCCTCTAGCCACGAAATGCTTTTCCTCTAACCACGAGATGGCTCTGGAGCCACGAAAATGGCCTAGTTGTGAAAAGATTCATTTCCAGCTTAAAACCATACAGAAATCATATTGGAATTGAACCTTATTACCGGTTCGAACTTGAAGTAACCTTGGCCTGTGAATTCACAGTGCGTTTCCTCGGGCAGATGTAGTTCGCCATACATATCACGTTAAGATATTGGACCTGTGCATATAAAAAAATACAACTGTACAAATCTACATATCTACAAATACACACAGACACACACACACACACTAGACAAAATTGGATCTTTTAAGAGATCCATCAGGAACTGAGTCCTTTGAACGTGCAAAGTAGATGAGAACCAAATTAACCAACGTAGTACCCTTCGAATAATGGAAGTTCTCCAGAATGACCATCGAGTCCAGAATCGTCATCAAATAAAATGAAGACCAAACCCACGAATAAATAATCGAGGTGAAATTCAGATTGTGACAACCGTGCAAATGTAACATGTTTGTCGGTGGGGTTCTGAGCTTAGCCCCTTGCTATTTCGGGAAAATGCAAAAGCAGGTACGTCAGGGTGATCAGCCCTGATATCCCATCCAAGACCGTAGCTTCGTTGCACACGGTAGGTCAAGGATGCCGTGTGCCCCTGCTGTATTAGAAGGAGAGAGGAAAAAGGAAAGAAAAAGGAGAAGTTTTACATCTATTTAGATGTTACACACACACACACACCCGGCCAGAGCCGGGTCAACCCTGAAAGGCAAGAGGAAGAAAAAAGCGGACACAGACGACGGGCAAAAGGCCAAAACAGCGCAGGGGGGGGAAGGGAACGAACGGACCTCCAGAACCAACCTACGCGGCGAAACGGACCTGACAGAAACAGAGCACACACCTAAACCCCACGACACATTACGGAGAGGCACAGGTTAGGGACCGAATGGGGGACGAGTTGGTGACAAGAGTGAAAATACCGAACCAATTAACCTAAAAACGACCCAGTTCCACCTACAACAGATGTCGTGCGTTACTCCCCTTCGGGACCGTTGTCAAATCGTGCCGGAATGGCATAAACAGCTGTTCAAGTTCCAGCGAATTAGATGCACAAAATGTTCAACCTCACCAGAAAGCTATCAAAAGAAAAAGACCACACCTGGAAAGCATGTGCCTGCCTGCAATGTCTTTCATGGTCATGTGTCGCTTCAAAAGCTTGAGCTGCAGCGAGAAGAAGGAGGTTTCTGGTTGTTCGGATCTGCTTCACGCTGACAGAGATGCATTTCTCAAGGTTTCACCAGGGACCGCAGGACCAGCGGGACTTCGCAAAATGGTGCAAAACAGGAAGGCCAACTGTTTCGCATTACTTAAACGAATTACTAATTTAAAGTGTCAATTCCGATGTCAGGTTTGGCCACAGTCACCCGGTTGCCTCAAGTGGCTCCATGGCACCATGTCGGAGTCACCATGGATATTACACTAGACAAAATTGGATCTTTTAAGAGATCCATCAGGAACTGAGTCCTTTGAACGTGCAAAGTAGATGAGAAACAAATTAACCAACGTAGTACCCTTCGAATAATGGAAGTTCTCCAGAATGACCATCGAGACCAGAATCGTCATCAAATAAAATGAAGACCAAACCCACGAATAAATAATCGAGGTGAAATTCAGATTGTGACAACCGTGCAAATGCAACATGTTTGTCGGTGGGGTTCTGAGCTTAGCCCCTTGCTATTTCGGAAAAATGCAAAAGCAGGTACGTCAGGGTGATCAGCCCTGATATCCCATCCAAGACCGTAGCTTCGTTGCACACGGTAGGTCAAGGATGCCGTGTGCCCCTGCTGTATTAGAAGGAGAGAGGAAAAAGGAAAGAAAAAGGAGAAGTTTTACATCTATTTAGATGTTACACACACACACACTCACATATCTATACGTATATGTGCACAAATAGATAGACAAATAAATTCAAATAAACATACATAAATATACATACACATGAACAAATATACATATGTACATATGTACATGTGTACACATGCACAAAAAGGTATACATGCAAGTGTCTGTGCAAGAACAAGAGAAGGTCTATAAATGTAGCACCAAGTGTCTGTGCAAGTGCAAGAGAAGATCTTGTAACGTACATCAAGCGTCTACGGAAGTAGGAGAGAAGATCTTATAACTCCCTATACGTTGCATCAACTGTATGCCGTGTACACTAGAAGGTCATGTAACGTAACATCAACTGTTTGTGCATGTGCCAGAAAGGATCCTTTAACGTAGCAGCAAGGGTGTGCGCAAGAACGATGGAGGTACTTCAACGTAGCATCCAACATCTGTGCAAGCACATGCATACACACATACACACATACCTACATATCTACATACCTACTGACCTACATACCTACCTACCTACATACCTACCTACATACCTACCTACCAACATAACTACATACAAATGTTTACATACCTACTTACTTGCAGACCCACATAGCCCACATACCTACATACCTACCTACCTTACCTACCTACCTACCTACCTACATACATACATACATACATACATACACACATACATACATACATAAATACATACATACATACAGACAGACAGCCAGGCAGACAGACATACATACATACTTTCATACATGCATACATACCTACCTACATACCACATACCTACGCACCTACATACCTACAGACCTACATACCTACATACCTGCAGACCTACGTTCCTACATACCTACATACCTACCTACATACCACATACCTACGCACCTACGCACCTACATACCTACAGACCTACAGACCTACATACCTACAAACCTACATACCTGCAGACCTACATATCTACATGCCTACATGCATACATACAGACAGACAGACAGACATACAGACATAAAGACATACAGACATACAGACATACAGACATGCAGACATGCAAACATGCAGACATACAGACATACAGACATACAGACATACAGGCATACAGACAAACAGACATACCGACATACAGACATACAGACATACAGACATACATACATACATACATGCATACATACATACATACATGCATACCTACACACATACATACATACAATCAAACATAGATAAATTAAATTACATTGCATTGCATTGCATTACTACACATGACATTTCATAAATACATTACATACATTATATGCATTACATACATTACATCCATTAGATACATTACATACATTACATACATTACATACATTACATACATTGCATACATTACATACATTACATACATTACTTGCACTATGTGCATTACATACATTACTTGCACTATGTGCATCACATACATTACATACACTACATACATTATATAGATTTTATAAATCACATACATTACATACATTACATACATTATTTACATTACATACATTACATACATTACATGACATTACATACATTACATACATTACATACATTACATACATTACATACATGACATACATTACATACATTACATACATTACACACATTACATGCATTATGTACATCACATACATTACACACATTACATTGCATTACATTTCATTACATTACATTACATTACATGCCATTACATACATTACATACATTACATACATTGCATACATTACATACATTACATACATTACATACATTACATACATTAGGTACATTAGATACATTAGATACATTAAATACATTACATACATTACATACATTACATACATTACATACATTACATACATTACATGCATTATGTGCATCACATACATTACATACATTACATACATTACATACATTACATGCATTGCATACATCACATACATTACATACATTACATACATTACATACATCACATACATTACATACATTACATGCATGACATGCATTACATGCATGACATGCATTACATACATTACATACATACATTACATGACATGACATGGCATTACATGATAATACGTGACATTACATTACATAACATTTACATTACATTTCATTACATTACATTACATACATGCATACATACATACATCCATACATCCATACATCCATACATCCATACATCCATGCATCCACACATCCATCCATCCGTCCATCCATACATACATACTTGCATGCATGCATGCATGCATGCATACCAGCGAGAGACCCCCCCATACCAGAGACGCCTCCATTCCCACAGGGCGGGCGGGAACCATGACCATGACGGGGGGGTGGGGTTGCAGGCCTTTACCATATGTATATATATATATATTTTAATTTTATATATACATGTACATATGTGGATATGTACACAAGTGCTTTTGGGAGTTTCTGTTCCAACATGAAAAATGTTCAACATTTTCCAATGGCCTAGTCGTAGAACTGATCAAAACTGCGAGTGCATGAATCTCGTTGATGCAACACGTTTATGCCAGGTAGCGACGTTCCGCGCGAGGCACTGTACAGAACGTTTTTTTTTTTAATTTTATTTTTTACGTTTTAACTTTTGCCGTGGTTGTTAATTTCTGCAAACTTCAAGTGATTTCTTTAAAACCCATGGTCTTCAGGACATTCGGTTGCCAGTCGTCACAGTGGTTCAAACCCTGGCACTCAGCGTTGCACTTGTTGAACACACCAACATCCAGACAATTCATGTGAAGAAACCAACGGCCCTCCCTACCTGAGGTTACTGATTTGGGATCTGCACATCTTTCCTGGTCTCAGCCGTAGCTTAAATCTGGTGAGCAACGTAATGTGCAGATCATGGTCAATGGTGCCACTGTTGCAAACCTTAAACCCGATTTCATAGATTTGCACTGCGGTACGCCACTATGCTGCTGTTGCCAGCTTTTGGGAGTCGATTTTGGGTCTGTCGATGCCATGTTCTGTGGTCTTTGCCATGTTTTTTGCCAAGCAAAAGTGTCACTCCTGCTCATCCAATTTCCAAGTTTCCTGCGAATTTTGAGTAGCTGTCAACGTTTCTATGGTGTAGGATGGCACCACAACCAATGCCTTGCGGCCCGCATCATTGTTTTCTGAATTGGGATTCTTCGTGTGTTTTTGAGTGTTTGCTCCTTTGTCCTCCTTTATCCTTTTCGTTTATGTTCCCGAGTGTATTGAACCCTCTTCACTGCGAGATTGTTGAGTGAGCTGTTTGCTAGATATTGATTTGGTCTTCGCTTTGCTTGGCGACAGAGGTTGCCAAAGTCTGAAGGCAGAATACAGGAGACTAATTTCTTTTTCATCGACGCAATTTGACTCTTAAATCCCAAAAGCCGTAGTTTCTTCATGTTTCCTCGACTGAGGTTTGACCCTCGGGTCGACTTGCTCTTTGTGCCTAGTCAGGCCAGATTCAAGCAATTGCCACTTTGACCTGCTGTGCAATTAATTGACAAATTGACAAAACTGCTGACAGTATGATGCTGCGGTTTTGCGAAGTTATTTTTGTGAAGGAGATCTATCAGCTGGCAATCAAGCACTGTGTACCAAAGGGGCGGCTCAGCCATGTTTTCCCTGCTGGTTCTTCACTGCTTTTCATGCTTTGTACAGCATTTTGCAAAGCTCTTGGGCGAGCTGGCTCGATGTCCACAGTGTGTATTCACTTTTCAACTGTTAAAAGATCTCGGTTTCTGGGTCAAAACCTAGCAACACCCCGGCAAAAATCCAACATGATGCAAACTGCATTGGAAAGCATGGATATCCTGCATGGTTGCCAAATTGTTTGCCTTGTATGAGCCTTGAAGGAAGATCAATCTCTCGGGTCTGCCTCTTCGAGAAGGCACTCCACCCTGCACAGATAGAGATAGAGAAAGGATGAGAAAGGCAGAGTGGCACAGAAGGAGCAGATACGGGCAGCCGCAAAAATGATGCTTCAAGTATCTTGAAGTCAATATGATGTCATTTGCGAATGAGACGGGCATTTAGGAGTGGGAAAAGAGGAGCTCTAATGCGAGATTTCTTTCTTGCAGCTGCAGGCTTCTGGTCAGCAGATCCTATTCGACCTGAAGAGAAAAAACGGCTCCAGGATTCTTTTGGTGACAGATGTGACTGATGTGACTGGAAGGCAAAAGAGGTGAAGGCGAAGGGAACACAAAGACTCTACGAATCTAACAGGAGCAATTGGGTCTACGCCCAACTGAGCGACCAGAGGCACAGAGCCGCAGAATCCATGGACGGACAAAGGAACACTAGAATCTCCAAATCATCTCATTGTGCAGGTTCTTTGCTCTTAGGTTGACTCATCAGTCTGAAGCAGCCTTCTTCAACTAGATTCTCTTCCAAAGCCTGCTGGGGAATACCGAAATGCCTATCAGTTTGGTATGGCTTTTGAAACCCAAAGCATCCGCTCCAACCTGAGCGTCTTGAGGTGGTTTTACTCATGGGTGGGGGAGAAGGCTTTGGTCGGCTGAACGATGTGTGGGTCTGAGAGCGCGAAGCACAGTCCAGGACTTTGCTGAGATGAATCTTGGAAGATCTTGGAATATGTACAGAGTATCCAGGAATCTTAAAAGACTTCCGTTGCAACGTTTGGTCTTTCAAGTTTTGCTGAGGTTGCGTGTGCAATTGGAGATACCTTGATAGGCACCGCCTTTGCTGTTGTGTAAGTCCAAAAGCCAACAAAACAAGAGCGTATAATAAGAGTGTCAATCTATGTCAATCTTGATTTAAGCCAAGTCTTGCAGCTTAAATTTGCAACAAAGAGAAACGCGTGACATGGGCACAGCCTCACCACTGTGACACCCACTCAGCGGTATCTGGACCCAGCAGGCCACTTAGTGTTTGAGGCAACAGGAACTAAGTCTTGGGTATGCACAGGCTACGTTAAGATGTGTTAAGGCCACATGTGTCTCATGACCCGTCATCCGCGTAGCTAAACTTTAAAGATACTTTCAAGATTCTTTTGAGATACTTTGAATATACTTTACAGATCTTTTGTGCAGTTTGCCTGAAAAGTCCAAAGTATAAGATTCTTCGGTTTCATGAGATGCATGGGGTTATCTGAAACAAATACATACTAATCGAAGGAAGTTTAGAAGTCAAACTTCCGACAATATGGACAGATGAAAAGCAGAGGTGGAGCAGAAGAATAGAGAAGAGAAGAGCAGAAGAGAGAAGAGCAGAAGATCAGAGAAGAGAAAGTCCCAGAAGAAAGAAGATACAGGTGCCCGAAAAGGTAGCAAAGTCGCGAAACACTGTGTTTTTCCAATGATTTGAGGCTCTGGAGGGTCGAAAAGTAAGCTCGCTAAAGTGGCGGGTGCGGAGCCAGCTGGCCAGAGGAGAGATGAAAAATTGCACGCCGTTGTGGCAGGCGCAAGGGATTGTGGATCGGGTCAAAAGTGAGCAAAACGTGAGGGTTTTGTAGCATTTCAAAAATCGATGGCAGGCGTGGGACATTTGAAGAGGATCTGGAAAGATGCATTTTCGGTGGCAGGCGCAGTACAAGAGACATGTTCATCAGAGCTGTTAGGAGGTCCGGGCGCTGATTTCCTGAGAGGGGTTGCATTTTGGAGCCTCCGATCTTCAGGTTTGCTGAGATGATTTTGCGTGACAGGTGCAGCACTTCGTATGACCTGGCATTACTTTTTCGTGGTAGGCGCAGTAGTTTAGACAGATGGACTGGAAAAATAGCAAAACACATTGGTACGAGGCCGTTTTGGATGTTATCAAATTCAAAACCTGAGGAAGTCTCGCAGAATAGGTTCGTTTTCAAGCTTGCAGACAGGCAGACAGACAGACAGACAGACAGACAGATAGATAGATAGATAGATAGGTAATTAGATGAGACAGAGAGAGAGAGAGAGACATAGATAGATAGATAGATAGATAGATAGATAGATAGGTTGGGTTAGGTTAGATTAGATTAGATTAGATAGACAGATAGATAGATAGATAGATAAATAGGTAATTAGATGAGACAGAGAGAGAGACATAGATAGATAGATAGATAGATAGATAGATAGATAGATAGATAGATAGATAGATAGATAGATAGATAGATAGATAGATAGGTTGGGTTAGGTTAGATTAGATTAGATTAGATTAGATAGACAGATAGATAGATAGATAGATAGATAAATAGGTAATTAGATGAGACAGAGAGAGAGACATAGATAGATAGATAGATAGATAGATAGATAGATTAGATTAGATTAGATTAGAATAGATTAGATTAGATTAGATAGATAGATAGATAGATAGATCGATAGATCGATAGATCGATAGATCGATAGATCGATAGATCGATAGATCGATAGATCGATAGATCGACAGATCGATAGATAGATAGATGGATAGATAGATAGATAGATAGACAGACAGAAGGACAGACAGATGTAGATGGATGGATGGATAGATGGATAGAAGGATAGAAGGAGAGATGGCGATATAGATGGATAGATGGCTAGATAGATGGATAGATGGCTAGATAGATAGATAGATAGATAGATAGATAGACAGATAGACAGATAGATAGATAGATAGATAGGTTGGGTTAGGTTAGGTTAGATTAGATTAGATTAGATAGACAGATAGATAGATAGGTAGATACATGGATACATAGATAGGTAGGTAGGTAGGTAGGTAGATAGTCAGAGAAAGAAAGAAAGAGAGAAAAAGAGAAGAGACCTCAACCACCAGTCGGTCCATCAGTGGCTTCGCTCTGCCATCCGTGACTCACAACAACCAACCTCTCCTATAGGTTTTCTATTTTTGAAGCTTCCGCCACCGCCTTGTGCGGTACTACTGGTATGTTGAAAGTCCACGCAATCATACTTAGGTTGCAAACGTACATACATAGAATATGGCTGTGATAAAGGGTTTCATCAAAGGAATGGGAGGTCCCCCTTTTCCAATCGTATTCAGGAAAGCAAGTTAGTAGGATGAGGAAAAAACAAGAGAGCTCGGGAAAGCGGTAGGGATGTTTTTCACAAGGTGTTGTCAATGGGTCCCCAAATGGACCGATTTCTTACTCATTTGTGTACTAAAAAGCACATTTTTTTGCCGCAAAGGGTCCCCCCCAATGAAGTGCTCTACCCACTGCAAGATCTTGTCTTTGCAGTGAGTTAGTTTCATTCATTCTCCTTTGCAAAGATGCAAGTATCACACATATCAAGGACTCCTTCATACCCTTGTGTGCGCAGATACATAGACTATGGAATCAGAGTTCTGGAGCCCGATAGAGCATCTCCCAAATGCAAAAAATAAGACCAAAACATGTAATCTAGAGTACGTCTTTGTATTGCCTGATATTGCTGGGCAAACATGATAAACACAAGTATCAGTATCAGTTTCCATTTTCTTCTTTATTCCATGCTGTTCCCATCGATTTCCTTGGCACCAAACATGGCAATTTTCTTGTTTGTGCTGCACTTCCCACAGGCACAAAGCCTTTCAGGATGCCAGCCCACTTTCCACATGGAATGGGGCATATTCTAAGATCATTGTAGGTAAATTTGCCTGCGGAATTGAAAATTTGCATATTCTATGATAGCGGGGAAGATTATATATACGTATACACACACACATATATATATATATGTTGCAGTGTCCTATGTTATCCAACCTTATCCAACTGTCCACGAAAGAATTCATATGATGATGAACTGATCGAAGGAAGTTTAGAAGTCGATCTTCCGACAAGATGGACAGATGGAAAAGCAGAGGTGGGAAGAGGAAGAAGAGAGAAGATCAGAGAAGAAAAAGAGTCAGAAGAAAGAAAATGTAGGTGCGCGAAAAGTAGAAAAATCGCGATTTACTTTGTTTTTCCAATGATTTGTGGCTCCGGAGGGTCGAAGAGTAAAGGCTCGCTAAAGCGGCGGGTGCGGAGCCATCTGGCCAGATGAGAGATGAAAAGTTGCACGCCGTTGTGGCAAAGCACATGTCGAAGTCAAAAGTGTACAAACACTTCAGCCTCGGAGCACTTTTGGAAGTTGAGATGATGGAAAAGTCCACGACTTTGTGGCGCGAAGCACATTTCGCAGTCAAAATGTACAAAGCACGCCATGTTCAGAGCACTTGGGAGTTCAGATGTTCAAAAAGTGCACGCCGCTGCGGCACAAAGCACATTTCGAAGTCAAAAGTGTTAGAAACTGACGGTTTCGGGCCACTTTTGGATGTTCAGATGTCGTTTCGCATGGCAAGCGCAACGGATTGTGCACCTTGCCAAAAAGTGAGCACAACGTCAGGGTTTTGTAGCATTTCCAAAAACCATGGCAGGCGTGGGGCATTTGAAGAGGGTCCGCAAAGATGCAAGTCGCGTGGCAAGCGCAGTACAAGAGACATGTTCATTAGAGATGTTAGGAGGTCAGGGCACTGATTTCCTCAGAGAGGCTGCATTTTGGAGCATCAGATCTTCAGGTTTGCTAAGATGATTGTGCGTGACAGGTGCAGCTCTTCTGATGACCTGGCATCACTTTTTCGTGGCAGGCGCAGTACTTTAGACGGATGGAATGGAAAAATCGCTACACGCACTGGCACGAGGCCATCAGCTCTGCACTCAACTTTCAATTTTTGAAGGATGTCTCGCAGAATTGCTTCGTTTTTGATGTTGTCAACTTTGAAAATTGAGGAAGTCTCGCAGACTTGTTTCGTTTTTGACGTTGTCAAACTCAAAAATAGAGGAAGTCTCGCAGAGTTGTTTTTTTGATGTTGTCACCTTCGAAAATGGAGGAAGCCTCGCATATTTGCTTTGTTTTCAAGCTTGCAGACAGAGACAGACAGACAGATAGATAGACAGACAGGCAGACAGATAGACAGACAACGACAACGACAACTACAACTACAACTACCTGCGTTACAATTACAGTTACAACTACAACTACAACTGCAACTACAACTACATTACACTACATGCTAATTACAACACACTACATTGCAACTGCAACTGCAACTGCAACTGCAACAACAACAACAACAACAACAGCAACTGCAACAGCAACAACAACAACAACAAGAAGAAGTGTGCTTCGCGCCACAACGGCGTGCACTTTTTCTACATCTCAACTGCCAAAAGTGGTCCGGAGCTGGTGTGTTTTGTACATTTTGACTTGGAAATGTGCTTCGCGCCACAACGGCGTGCACTTTTTCATCTCTTATCTGGCCAGATGGCTCCGCACCCGCCGCTTTAGCGAGCCTACTTTTCGACCCTCCGGAGCCACAAATCATTGGAAAAACACAGTGTTTCGCGACTTCCCTACCTTTTTGCGCATCTGCATCTTCTTTCTTCTGACTCTTTCTCTTCTCTGATCTGCTCTCTTCTACTCTTCTCTTCTCTCTGCCTCTGCCCAGCTCTGCTTTTCATCTGTCCATATTGTCGGAAGATTGACTTCTAAACTTCCTTCCACAACTACAACTACGACTACAACGACACTAATTACACTTCACTACACTACACTGCACTACACTACACTACACTAATTACACTACACCACGCTACACTACAACTACAGTTACACGACACTACACTACAGCTACAGCTACAACTAAACTACTTCAAACACACACACACAAACACACAAACTCACAAACATACAAACATACAAACACACAAACACACAAACACACAAACACACAAACACACAAACACACAAACACACAACACACACAACACACACACAACACACGCAACACACACAACACACACACAACACACACACACACACAACACACACAACACACACAACACACACAACACACACACACAACACACACAACACACACAACACACACAACACACACAACACACACAACACACACACACACAACACACACAACACACACACAACACACACAACACACACAACACACACAACACACACAACACTAGACTAGACTAGACTACACTACACTATATTACACTATACTACACTAAAGTACACAACAGGACTACACTACAGTACACTACACTGCACTACATTACACTACACTTCTTTTACAACTACGACTGCAACTACAACTACCACTACACTACACTACAACTACAACTCCGCGACACTACAACTACAACTACAACTACAAGTGCGCTACACCACACTACATCCAGCAGTTGTGAGTGAGGTGACGACTGCAACCGTTGCAACCACTCCAAAAAACACAGCTCCAATCACCTTTCGGTCCATCAGTGGATTTGCTCTGCCATCCGTGATTCACAACAACCAACTTCTATAGGTTTCCTATTTTGAAATTTCCGCCACCGCCTTGTGCGGTACTACTGGTAACTCCATTTGCGCACTTGGCCTGGCGTAAACATGCAGCACATGTGTGATAATGATATCACACGTTTACCACTATCACAATGAACAGGCAGCGCATTCATGGAACATGGATGCATCTGTAAGACCTAGCAACATATTTTGTTCGTGAAATCAGACTTGGAATGATCGATAGATACCTCACATACGAACGGTACCGCGCAGATTTGGAAAGCAGGTGCAAGGATGCATTAAGTATTCGCTGCAATGTTTGTTGGGAACTCCTTGCGTTTGTTTTCGCTGGAAACTGTCTCCTTCGTTTGCTTCTCTCCACCACCTATAAGCCCTTTGCACTGAAGATTCCCCACACTGAAATTCGTTGCTTTGTGTTCCAAGTGAAACAGTTATATAGGCATTTTTTGCATACTTGATACATGTATGAATAAAAAACACCTGACAGACTTATAGCCATTTGCTTCATCGAAACTAGAGTCTCCACCTTGAACAAAAGGTTTGGGCTACGGACAGCTGGTCGTTGTGTGTGGGAGGAATGAAGAGGCATGGAAAGTTTTGCGCAGTCTCTTCGGGAATGTATTTTAGGCAAGTTATGAATTTGGTACTTTTTCCATTTCGAAGCTGGTTGAATTTAGTGTTTCCCAACAGGCTCGCAAGTTTCTCTCTGAGCCACTTGGGCTGAAAAATGTTGGACCGACAAACGCAGATGACGTGTTTTCAGATTGATTTTCTATCCTCCAGCAGTCTCCACCATGCACAGAAAGGCTCCTGCCTGGCTCATAGTAGCTGAGCAAGCGAACCACTGCTGCCGTGAAAACTGAAGCTCACGGGACCAAACAACATGGACCATTTGAAGCAACTGCCCTAGTGCATTAGCTGGGCAGTGAATCGTTCCCTGCGTGTTTATACTGAGGAGAAAGTGGATGTCTCGACAACTTGGGGCCAGGGCCTCTGTTCTTTTGCAGTTTTTCCCTCGACTGGAAAGAAGTGAAGCAAAAGAGAGAAGTGAAGAGAAGTGAAACCCGTGCGAAGCCGCGCAGGAGTGGCTGTTCGAACCCTTAATCCTTGGCTTTGTGAAGAACATTGACGAGCACCAACGCTTAGCCATACTTGAGACACAGTCTTGACACAACTTCCACTTTTGAACTGCTTTGCTATGAGATCCTACATTCCGCTGGCCTGCACCCTGCACAGTTGAGCATCGCCCTGTGCTTGGCTGCTTAGGTATATGACCGCTGCTGATTGTCTAGTGACTAAGGCGCTGCACTCTGTGATGCATTTAACTTTGTTCCTCTTCGGGTTTTCACTTTGGGATTCATACTCTGCGCGTGTATACACATGTCCGTACATAAATACATGTCCTGTTTCATTGCTATCTTATATACATATGTATATATATATAATACATACACATACATACAAATAATGAACAGTGTCCAGCAATGTCACAGTTCAGCAACCCAAACAGGAAAAACTACATTACCCGCCGGGGATTTTGTTGTGGGGGGTGCAGTGGTGTAAGAAGTTTCTTGTAGCAACAAATGATTTGTATATAGAATTTTAGTAAAATGTATAGAAGGAGGTTGGCTGTTTATGCTTGTCCTGGCGTCGCTGCAATTGCCCTACATGGCATGATGCTGTCAAGACCCCATGAGGGCCCTGGGTCCTCTGAGTGCCGGTGGAATGATGCTGCCTGTGTAGCACCAGCCCCATCAGCCCGAATGCCAGCAGGGACTGAACCGGTATAAGTCAATCTGGTCTTAAAACGATTTGCAGCGAACCTTGAGTTGAAGATAGTTGAAGGCAGCATGCTTGATCGCGTTTTTGCAGAGTTATCAATCTGGGCAGGCTGGTCCAGGATCAATTGCCGAAGGCATGATCAAAGGCGGGGTCTTTTGGCAAAAGCAAAGGAAGAACAAAGAAGCAGTTGCGGCATCCCACAACCATGACCATAATCAGAACTGTAATCACAAGCAGAACAACAACCCGCACGGCAGCCATAACCATAGTCACAAGCATTGCCACTAGCATGAACACGACATTGGCCACAACCATAGCCATGACTATAGCACAATCATGGCAACCACAATCATGGCCGAAACCATGGCCATAACCAAGCACCACCGGCACAACCAGCACACCACCAGCACCACCATCATCATCAGCACAATGACGGTGCGAGCGCCAAGGACAACTGCAAGAAGAAAGCGAGAAGAACCAAGAAGAAGAAAATAATAAGAAAAAACAACAAACCAACTGACATTGCTTAGTGCTGCTCCGTGCACATGGCCTTGGGTGCGAGACCCACTTTTAGACAAAGTATCAGCTAGATTTCTGCTGCGGCACAGTGCAGCACAGTGCTTTGTGTTGCAGTTGTTGCTTGGAGAGTCTGGGGCTTTTCGCGGGAGGCTTGCCATGCCTTCTCACGGCCTTTGTTCCTGGACAAGAGGAGGGCAACATTGGCTATGTCCTATCGCCAGCTATCGCCAGTTTCGGGAATTGAACAAAAACACGGAGCAGCCACTTGCCAGACCTCAGGTCACAGAGAATGACGCTGGTGCCTATGTGTCAGATGAGGAAAGCTATCTTAGCGTTTTCGATTTACTTCTAAAAGTACTGCTCTGCCAAAAGCTTCACATGTTTGTTGCATGCAATTCTTCCTTTCTGCATTGCATGTTTCTTCATGTTTGCCCAGGAACCAGAACAGATTGCAGAAACGATTGCAGATTGGCTTGCAGCCGGCCTCCAAGCTTTGGCCCGACTAGAGAATTGGATAGTAAGTACTCGTACAGGTGCTGACAATGCTCACATTAGTTGTCTGCAAGTAGCCATGACCACATTATGATGTAATGCAGCATGAACAGTCTCTGTTTTCAGCTATGAACCTGGGTTTGTCTTTCTGGCCCTGCATTTTTTGCAGGACAATTATGTCCCTGTTGTGTGACCTTTTTTTAGATTCAAACCTACATAGAATTTGATGC